AAAGCAGCTACGAATTTCTTATAGATTTGAACAATTCTGTGAGTCCAAACATATCTGCGCATTTTAAAAATGTTTATGAATTTAATTTTTTTCACAAGTTTTAAGAATGTTAAGGACTTTTAAAAGATTAACAAAATTTAGAATATATTAGCGAATTTATTTTTCAAAAATTTGAAAAATGTTTGCACATTTAAAAAACTTTCATAAATTGATAAAGTTGAAAAAATGTTCATGAAAAAAAATGTTTGCAGGATTGAAGAAAACTTTGCAAATTTTAAAATGTCATAAAATAAAATAAGTGTTCATTAATATCAAAATGATCATGAATTAAAACAATGAACACGGAAAAAATATAAGAGAATTAGAAAAGGGCAATAAAACCATAGGAAAGAAAGACTAGAAAAGCCAGGCAAACTCTTCCAAAAGGTTCCCAAAACCAGAAAAAAAAACACAACTGAATCACCATGGTGTGTGAAGTGGCCTCGGAGATGATTGAGAAAGTTATGCAAATAACTTTTGTACTGGAGAAATATAAGGAGGAAGGAGGACAATAATTTATATTCCATCTACTAAGCGGTGCATGATTTATGAAAGTATATTTTCAATAATCTATTTTGCGGATGGAACAATTATATATATTGTCAAAAACAAAGAGTGTGAACTTCGCGATACACCCCGCTTACGTGTTGTTTATTCTTTTACCGTACCTTTTACTTGCTTTGCATGCTTGTGGCTTGCTACTTATCTTGGCTATTGCTTTCCTAGTGTGTTAGCTTGCTTGCCATATGGTTGTTCTTATCATAGATTGTATATCTGGAGAACTTACTTTATTCACACTTCACCCTAAAATTGGAAGCTAAGCTAAAAAAATTGTATTATCCTATTCACTCCCTTCTATTTGACTTCTTGATATCAGACCACTTCATATGCAAGGCAAACAATGATGTTGTTGACTGTGGCATTACCGGCAAGTGGGCAACCCGGCTAGCACGCACCCTACACTACCTGACATGGAGGTCTGCGCCCACCAAAGTCCCGATGCACCTGAGAGCTTAATAACTTAGAGCATCTTGAACCGGACTCCCCAAATCTTGCTATACGCCCTGTTTGTCCGGCACTCCTCAACCCATCTCATATGTGGTTTGGATTTTGGGCCTCCTGGATGTCGGACCGTCCCACTCGACTCCACAAAATCTCCTTCCTATCCTCACCTCGGACCAAACCATAGCCATTCTTATTAGTCCACTCCACATCCAGCCATCTCTGCCCGCCCTTCCCTTGGTGGGTTGACAGATGACGTGCCCATCATGAAAGAGAGAAGGCGTGTCGTCTAGCAGCGACCGATGACAAGGATGCCCGTTCCCAGATCCTGGCAAAGCGACAAGCCCGAGCCGCATGTGCCCTCATCGTCCTTCCGCCATAGAGGAAGATCTTACCATGTCTGGTGCCGCGTCACCGAGCAAATCCACCTTGACCCCTATTACGTCCTCGACCACTACTTCCGCAAAAACAAAGACATAACCAAGGGCAAGGCATCCGCTAGAGATGGACTTCCCTTAACTATGGGCTCACCTATGCTATGATATGTTTAAATTGAGTGCTAGAAACACAATACATATGCAAAACGTTCATACACGCACACTCACCCTCATGAGCACCATCGAGAGACTGAGCCAACACATCATTTTGAGATTAACGGAGTCGCCATAGACGCTTTCGTAGTCGACAAGAACGTCACCTCACATTGTACGCACATCGCTGGAAAGACCTAAATAAATCCAAAAAATGCACAAACCACATGTTCGTTCACATGATTGGAGATGCTATTAGGGCACACATGATGGGGGGCGCTATCAACAGGCACCAAGGTCTAATTCCTGGCCGTTCTGGCGTATTCCTGTCCGAGCGTGATTTTTTTTTTGCGTCGACACTAATTTTGTCATCAGATCTTTTTGTGATTTGTTTTAAATTGTCATATAGGCATCCACGGACTCCTACTAACGTTGGATACATCGAGACCCTTAACCGACCACTATGCATAAAAATCCATTTTATCTTTTTCTCAAGCGCCTAATCAAGCGTCTTTCATTGATGCCTATAGAGCAACTCTAGCAGATACCCTAGAAGTGATCAAACCTCTATATTTGCAGTACCGATGCCGTAAAACACACCCAATAGATCCCGTCATATAGCCTATCCCGGATTTTTCTTGCAGGTCACTACATATTATAACCCATATATCCTATATCCACAATTTTTGAGGCTGATTTTAAGGTGAACTGTAAACGAGTCAACGTCGGAGCAAGCAGCTTAGAGCTCGGCAGCGGCTGCTGGAGCAGGCTAAGGGGCTCGGCAACGGCCGCCGGAGGGTCGCGGAGTAGGCAGAGGAGCTCGACATTGGCTGCCGGATTTCTTTTTTGCAATACAATTTTGCCGTCTGTCAAAGCCAATTTAATACCGCAAAAACAGTTTAATTTTACAGTACCACGATGTACAACATCTGCTAGAGTTGCTCAGGAGATAGGATTTCCCCGTACCCATTACGTGCTTCTCTTGTTGGCAAAATTGACAAATTTGATCTCAAAGCGAAAGTATTTCACAAAGTAAACTGCTTTTTGAAAGTATTTCATATCACTAACCCTTTTGTGCACCGCCCGACAAGAGTGCAGCTCCTTACAGACTGGCGCTGCACAACACTGTGCAGCGCCTGTCCGTAAGGAGCTGCGCAGTAGAGCGCAACGCCTTGTTGTCAGGCGCTGCACATTAGGGGTTAGTTGGGTGAAATACTTTCAGAAACAGTTTAGTTTGTGAAATACTCCCTCCATTTCGAATTACTTGTCGCAGGTATGAATGTATCTAGATGTATTTTAGTTCTAAATACATCAATTTCTACGACGAGTAATTTGGAACGGAGGGAGTAGTAGTTTCGGAGGTCAAATTTGTGCTTTTTGTCTCTCTTTCTCCATTTCACACCCCAAAAACAGGCACGCACCTGCCTCCACGTGTCACCCCGCCCCCTATCCGCGTGCTCGGCAAAAGCCGGCCGCTCCCCAAACAGTACCGGACCTAGACCACCCCCCACCCCGCACCTATAAAATGCCCGCCGAGAGCACCCACCCCCGGCGCGCCAGTCGCACCAAACCGAATGGTTTCGCTCCGCTCCGGCTCCGCTCCACTTCGGGTCCAGACTAGACCCATTCGCAGGACCTGACTCCACTTCGGGTTCGGTCGCTTCGCTGAGGAGGAAAAGGATAAGCGGCCACGGACGCCCACCGCGTCGCACCCTGCACCTCCCGTCCCCCCCGAGCGCCACGGCCGGAGCCCGGAGAATCCACGGCCGCCCGCCCTCCCGCTCCCAGGAGCCTCCCGTGGCCCCGCACGCCCGGCGCCCCGGCGGCAGCCCTGCCCACCGCCGTGCAGTGGGCGGAGGGCGGAGGCGCTCACCGGCTCACCGGCTCACCGTCGAGCCACAGCGGCGGATCTGTCCTCAAGCCGCAGCCGCGGACGCCGAGGTCGTTGACGCCGGGCAGGGGATCGCGGGGCTCGTCGCGGCCTTGTTCCCGTCCCCGACAGCCTCGTTCTCCAACCCTAAGGTGACTCCCCTTCCAGACTCCCAATCTGAAATTCAATCGTTGACCTGCACATTTGTAGCTTATGTTTGGATTTAGAGAGATATGATTCGTTTCACTCTCTGCACATGTCACTGTCCTGCTCTGATTCATTTCATTAGCGTACGGCTGGTCGCTTGGTACGGATTGGTCTTAGGGCCAAGTGCAATGTTAGGGTTTTGCCGTGCAACATTTGAGTACCTGTAAATTTCGGTTTGTGTGCTTTCATTTCAATCCGAGACAGGTTTCAATTTGTTGTCTGTGTGTCACTGTGTGTGTGTGTGTGTGGCTGAAGCTGTCTGTCATTATTCAGCAGATCTGTGCCTAGCTGGCGCCTGGTAACATGACACCAACGGTCCTCATGGAGTACAGGCCGCAGATGCAGATTAAACGGGGCTACGACGAAATAGCTTACCGGGGCGGCGCGGGGTATGCAGAGACTGTAGGTGAGTCGGGCAGCCCTGTTCGTGTCGACTCCGAAGATTCCTCTGCGCCAAAACGCAAGTGCATCAGCCTTAATAGCGATGGCTTTGAAGTGAAGCGAGAGATCTTCGTCCCGTCTAGGTTGTCGTCGTCTGAGCGGCGCTACCTTCGAAAGAGATTCCGGGCAGAGCTTGATTCTGTCCGATATCTCCTCAAGAGGCCAGAGTTTTTGGCCATCATGCCTGTCAGCCGAGCACCTGGTTTCTCATCGTCGGCTGCCCCTCGAGCTAAAAAAGTGCAAAGGGGGAGCCATGTTCTCCGCGGTGCCAAGGGACGCTTCTTGCCGACCAAACCCCGGCCTGAAACATCTACAGTGTTGCCTGAAGCTACAATTCTGAAGCAGTGCGAATCTATTCTGAAGAAGCTGATGACTCAGAAATTTAGTCATATTTTTAATGTTCCAGTAGATGTGGAAAAGCTGAATATTCCAGATTATAATGAAATTATCAAGCACCCGATGGACCTTGGGACCATCAAGAAGCAGCTAGATTCTGGTTCCTACACAAGTCCTTTTGATTTTGCAGCTGATGTCAGGCTGACCTTTAACAATGCGATAACGTATAATCCCAGAGGGCATGCAGTGCATGATATGGCCATTCAACTGAATAAAATGTTTGAGTCCAGATGGAAAACAGTTGAGAAGAAGTTAGTTTCTGCCGCCACTAAGCCACATGTTGAGGTTGATAGAGCTGACTCAAAGAGGAGAAAGACCCCTCCTGTGGACCGCAGTGACTTGTCAATAGATTGTGTCAGGCCAACTGAGATTGTGAAGCCAAAGATGACATTTGAGGAGAAAGAATCCTTCGGAAACTGCTTAGCTTCTTTGTCTGAGGATCCAGAATTACCTGGTCACATCATTGATATGTTACAGCAGTGTATTGACAACAATACAGATCAGCTTGGGGATGAAGAGATAGAGATTGATATCCATGCACTCAGTGATGACATACTATTAGAATTGAAGAAGCATGTGGACAAGTACTTGCAAGAGAGAGATCACCAGCAGACAAAATCTGAGCCTTCTGAGAATGAGGCTGTGAATATTTCTGGCCTCAGTCATTCGTCCACAAATCCCTGCAAAGGTATTTTGTCATGTACGCTTTGAGGTTCTCAATAGATTTAACTTTAATTTCATCAATGCAGTTGTTAGAGATCGACCTTTTTGTGCACTCAGGTGGTGAGCCTGTTGAGGAGGATGTGGACATTTGCGGCAATGCATCCCCTATATTGATAGAGAAGGATCCACAGATCAGAACAAGCAAATGTGGTAGTCCAAGTAGTTCCAGCAGTGGCTCGGGATCTTCATCCAGTGGTGTGTACATATGAGTTATTTAGTTATTTACATTGTGTTTACCATTGTTACATCGTTGTAAAACATGTTTCTCCATGACACTGCTCTGATTACGTTGACCATCTTTATATTTCCTTTCTCATGTTCTTTTCATAGAGGTTTGTGCTTATGCCTAGTTCATATTTCTTTGGCTAAACTTTAGTGAACTTTAGGTTTACGAGTTTACGGAAGGTTGTGAAGCAAACATTTTTCACTATAGGTGGTACCATCTGAAATTCAGAATATTATATGAGATTGACACGTGCTGCAAATTTGTGCTTGTCATTTAGGAGTGCCTTTTTAAACTATTATTATCTTTCTGTAGACTTAGAGGTATCCATAGAAACTTTATACTCCCTCCGTCCCGTAATATAAGAGCGTTTTTGACACTACTGTCAAAACGCTCTTATTTAGTTAGGATTTCAAGAATGCCATCCTGCAATTACCTCGCACTGATTCTTATAGTGAACTAATATGTGGTGCATAGCTGCAAGGGCACCGTAGATGCTTTCTAAAAATTATTATTGGGAACTACAGATACACTCTGTACCAGTTAATTTTCTTAAACAGCCCGTCCCAGTTGTCTACAAGACCCTACTGTATTTGATATATTTATCTTGTAAAGCGTGTCCTCAGATCGTATTTGCTATGCTGGTAATGCAGATTCTGACTCAGGCAGTGACGCTGAAAGCGAACCAGAAAAAGCTGGTAGCCCAGCAAAGCTTGTGAAGGTACTTTGGCAATTTCTTACTGGGTGATCCTTCAGTTAAGCCAGTTAATGTAGTAAGGACTATCTTAGTTGGTGAACATATGGACCAATGGAGTGTGTTAGCAGGATTAAACCCCACTAATTCTTTCTCTCCTCAGCTCTTTACGTTCATCCATTATTCCCTTGTCATTATTTTTACCACATCTGTAGTCAGTCACTAGCCCTTCTGTTCGCAACTTGACCCTCCTTGTCCAATTATCTGATAGTACCACGCCGTATCAGTATTTGCAGTTAGTTTTGTAGCTTGTACTTCATTGGTTGACTCGCCTTGGTCAGACCGAACCAGATAACAGAATGGTGATCTAGTTTCTGTACCTTTACACTAGTCTGAGTCGACTGTGATCAGTAATAACGATATTCCGTTCTACTAATGCTGTGGCAAGAGTTTGTCGTTTCATTTCCAATTACTGGCCAACCTTGTTGCACTGCAATAATGTGTTTCTCCTAATTTGTAGGGTATTAAAATACCAGAACAACCTGCAGAGCAAGAAAAGAGTGATGATGTTATTAGCCCTGTTGATGTTAACAGTAAGTTTTATCCCCATGCCCCCTTTAGCTGCTTGTTGTTGCAAGCTGTTCTTAATCTACTTCTATTTGTCATACTTACCATTTACCATTGGTTAAATCACAGACACTACTGCTGATGTGGAACTCCATGAACTGGACAATGAGTCCAAGGCTGCACCTGAGGGTAAGCACCTCCGTGTGCCTGTGCCTTTTTTCTCCCCACCAGCCATCACTTGCATCATCTCTTTTACAACTTAGGTGACTACCGTGCACTCATATCATTGTGAAAACAATTTGTCACACATTTGACATGTTAATATTAACAAGAGTAGTGAATATGCGACATACAGCCACAATGGGATTTATGCTGCATATTCAACCTCACGGGTGACAATTAGCATTGTTTGTGCTCCTCTTCTCGACTTTGCCTTCACCTAGGATCAAGTCATGTCCTTGTACTTCTTTTTTCTACTCCATGCGGGTAGTTGTCCATGCCCTCCTCTTGTCGGTTTTGCTCCCTGGATCAAGTCACATTCTCCCATCTTTTTTCATCTCCTTATGGTAGTGGATTCCAAGAAAGGACGATACCATATTCCATATAGACATGCATTATGTGAAAGATATACTAAAGTGAGTAGATGTATAACATAGGAAACAACTATTTTGTTGATTCTCATCCATGAACTCAGAAAATCAACTCCACCAACATAGCTAGATTGATACCATTTTTTTAAGCACTGTGCTTATTTGCAGAGGATAGACGCGTAATTAGGCACTTGTGCTTCAGAAACATCCGGTTTATTTTTAAGCACCTCCCTAAGCATCTAGCATTGTACAAGGCCTAAATAGATAGGGATAGCCAAACTGCTGAGAATATTCCTCAAAAACCTGGTTGGCAACAGCTGGCAAAATATGGTGGATGAGGGCAACCATGCTTGCCGAGCAAGCGAATCGTTTTTTTTCGCTCAGTCACCTCTCCTGAACAAAACCAATGTGTTAGTTACCCAGGCTCTTCGCGCTCTCTTCTCGCAGTTGGCGGTTGCTGCGGCGGCGCCAGCGCCGGCCAGAGAAGTGCAGCGACGGGCAAGCCTTGCCCTTCCTCTCATGTCTATCTAGCCCCCTCTCCAGTCCCGTGCATGTGCCCTGTGTGGAGGCGGCGGCGGCGGCGACGGCTTGGGCGGATCCGCGATGGCGCCGCCGCCACACTCGAGAGCGAGGCTACGTAGAACTGGATCCAGCAGGAGTTAACTCCACCGTGCTCCTCGAGGACGCCCACCACAGCATCAAGCTCTGCTTGGCTGCCCGCGTCCTACCTCACCCCCACACCCTTCCTCTGCTGGGTTAGGCTGCGGCTGGCTCTGTCCTTTCAATTCCCATGCTTGTGTGCATACTTGTTAAATTCATAAACTGCAGCATGCTAGAGGATGTGCGGCTATGAAACTCTACTCTCTGATTTGTTGCTCTATGAACTGCAGCCTGATCTGATAAATTCATGGATGATTGTGTGCATACTTGTTACTTGTGTATGTATACAAGACAACAGTTGTGTGTACACTAATTTATGCGTGTGCTTACTAGAGCGTACTAGAAGATGTGCGGCTGATTGTGTGTGTGTGCTTGTGTATGTGAATCTTGGAAGTTTTTTTCTTTTTCAATTTACTACCGTAGATGAACCAAGAAAAATAAGCTATCTAGAAGTTTTTCTTCAATTTACTAGAGGATGCGTGGCTGATTGTGTGTGCTTGTGCATCTGTTAGACTTATGATATTAATGTACATTGGCATGTCAAACACACAAATAGCTATCCCTAAGAGCGTCTCTAGCAGACCCCTTAGAGAAACTCTAGCAGACCCTGCAAAACACGCAGACCTGCAAAATTCCGGTTAGTATGCGGGCTCGGCCCAATTTTCCGGCCAGAACAGAGCCCGCATACTCGCCCGGCCCGCAAATTTTTTTGCCGCGGCCCGCAAACCGCACGCCCTGACCGCTATATCTACGGTTCCGTGACTCGTTTGCGGGTCCAAACCCTATCCCCCGCCGCCACCGAGCCACGCGATTCCCCTTCCCCCTCTCCACATCTCTCGCCGCCGGCGACCACCCGCCCCACCTCCAGCCGCCATGTGGGGACGAATGTGGAGCTCCGGACATGGCTCCGGCAGCAGATCTGACGGCGGAAGGGACCCGGAGCGCGAGCGGCGCGTCCGGTCGGACGGCGCGAGGAAGCGCGGGGCCCGGAAGTGGACCAAGCGCGGCCTGTCGCCGCCGGCGAGCTTCCAGCGGAGCGAGACGGAGGAGTACGACCGCCGGCGCGCGTCCTTCTCCACCGCAAGGTCTTCGTACGCCGGGAGCTCCTCCTCCGGCGCGGGTCTTCTCCCCGTGAAGAGGGAGTGGTCGGAGGACGAGGAGGAGCCGGAGGAGCCGGATGAGTTCGCCTTAGTCCCCGTGAAGGAGGAGCCCGAGGAGCCCGCTCCGCTCGGCCGCCGCGGAGTCGTCGGGCCGGAAGACTACGTCGCCGCCGTCAACGCCATTGCGGCCGCCATCGCCGAGCGGAGCGTGCGTGAGGATTGAGCGTCCTTCTCCTCCACGGCGTCGTCCATTTGTCGCGACCTCGCCGCCGTTAGATCCGACCCGCTCTAGTACTAGTTATCTGACCCCTCTAGTACTAGTTAACATAGTATGTAGTATGAACTATGCTTGTAGTTTGTTGGTCATGTAAAATCTATGTAGTATGTGATGCACTGTGTTTGTGCAATTTCTCCCGCAGAAGTGTTTTTTCAAATTATGCAAGTTTAGATACGGTTTCTGTTCGGCCGCGCTAGTTTTCAACCCGCAAACGCGATCTTCGTGAAACCGCAAACGCGTTTTGCGGGGTCTGCTAGTTGCTCTTATAAGGCTAGCCCTTATAAGGGGTTTATAGTTCGCGTTTTCCCTCTTATAAGGGGCGAATTTGGCTGCGGCAGAACATAAACCTCATATGAAACTTTAAACTTTGAAAAAAAGGTTTCGCGCGAGAGATGAACAAGAAACAGTAGTAGATAGAAGTTGATCACCGATACATATATGAGTTCATCGATTTACATAGGGTAGATTCATCGAAGCGTCGGCCTAACCCTAACCTTAACTGCCCAAAATGGGGCTCATTGGAGCCCTCCGGGTGTGGTGGCGAACTGGCGATCACTCGTCGTCGTTGGTGAGGTCGATGAACATGGAGTCTTGCGCGTCGGCTTCGCGTCGCCAGGCCTCCATCTTCTCATCTAACTCCCGCGCCCTGGCGAGGCCCTGCTTGTGCAGGACCTTGTTGATCTCCTCGTCCCGGCGGGGGCGCCGCGCCACCTCCTCCTCTCGTGCACTGCGCTCGAGAATCGCCGCCTCGATGGCGTCCGCCTCGGGGGAGGGGAAGGCAATCCTCCGGCCTGCCGACGCGCGACCGCTCCGCCTCCCTCTTGACAGGCGGCAGCGGCGTGCGCGAGCTGCACACACCGTAGAGCCGAGCCTGCTGCCGGCCGTACTCCTCTGTCTCGTGGCGGAGGAGGGACGCCGGCGGCTCAAGGCCGCGGATGGTGTACCGGCGGGCGGAGCGCTTGCGCTCCTCGTCGTTGTCACAAGAGACGCAGTTGCGTAATGCTGTACACTGCCTGGATCGGGGGTGGTCACGGGAGAGGGGGCGCCGCCGTGCGGGCTGGGTGGTTCTGATTCGTGAGCGAGAGGTTGGAAGACGAGTACTCCCAGGTCAGGGGAGAACTTGGAGGATGCACCGATATGTGGTTGTTTTTGTAAGGCGGGTCCTTTTTATGGCCTTTTTTTATGTAGGGAGATCTTGTGTGTGGGCACCAGATGTTTATTTTTCGGGTTTTTCTTTTATGGTAAAAATTGGTGGGGGTGAGGACCGGAGGACGTGGGAGGTCAAACCATTAAGAAGGCAAACTCCCCTTTAATAATAGTAAAGAACACTTGTCATACTTACCAATGGTTAAATCACAGACACCGTTGCTGATGTGGAACTCGGTGAGCAGGACAACAAGTCGAAGGCTGCACCTGAGGGTAAGCATGATTTTGTAAGCAGGTTCATATGAGACCACCAAGGGGTCTTGGCGCATTAATCTGCATCTGATCCTTTCCCAATGAAAAATATAGGGGAGAATGCAAAACCTGACAGGCAAGTCTCCCCGGACAAGCTCTTACGAGCAGCTCTTTTGAGGGGCCGTTATGCTGATGTAATTGTGAAAGCTCGTGGGATTCTCTGCCAGGTTTAGGAGCTTTTACATCTAGCTTTCTTTCCTTCATCATTGGCTGCACCTCTTCCTGACATGTAATTACCTAATGAGCTCAGGGTGGAGATAAACAGGAGGAGCTGGAGAAACTGCAGAAGGAAGGTAAAAAGCATATACACCTGTTTGTTTGCTGCCAAGTAGTAAGCTCCTGCTTTTCTGAGAATTGTCTTGCCTATGGACACAGAGAAAGAACGGCTTCTGGCTGAAGGTAATGCAGCCATGGAAGCCCGCAGAGCTGAAGCAGAGGCTGAATCTAAGTGTAAGCGGGACCTTGAGAGGGAAAAGGCTCGTCAGGCCTTGCAGGAGGTAAGTGAATGAAATACATTTGTTGGTGCTATGAAACTCATCTTTTGTCTTGTAGCTAAGAGTTCGTTTAAACCTGATGCAGATGGAGAGAACTGTAGAAATTAATGACAGTGTTGATCCCAAGGACCTAGAAATGCTTGGTACAGTCACCACAGAACATATTGTGAGTTCTGTCGATGAAACGGGTCCAGAGCATTCCCAGGATGGCATGCCCAGTTTTCTTCCTGGTTCTGGCAGCATGTTGGAGAAACTTGGACTATTTATGAAAGTAGACGAGGAAGAAGAGGAAGAAGAGCCATGCAGCAAAGATGCGGATGAAGGAGAAATCAACTAATGTCTGTTGAGATATTGGAGCCTTCTGGTCAAAGACAGAACAATCGCCTGTTTCAGCTGGCCGACGCACATGGGGAAATTGCTGATAGCTGCGCACATGTCGGACATTTTCTCCCAAACGGTGCACGAAAGAATTCCCTCGAATTTGGTGCTGCTGGAGGTGTTGAATCACGTGCTTGCAGGATTTACGCCTTCGGAAGGGAGGGGAGGACAGAGATCGAGGCCACAAAAATCCAGCTGCAAATGAAAATGGAGTTCATCTCTAAAATCCTCCTGGAATCAAGACGTTGTTGCGAGCTGTTGTTGGGTGTATTAATCTGATGGAGGCTTCTGGAAGATTCCTTCTGACTCGCACACGGTCAGATGTTGGCTCAGTACCACTTCTCACCAACACTTTTGCTGCTGTAAGACGACCAAATCCAGCTGCTTTGGTGATATAGTCCAGTACGGATTATGAATACTAAAGTGCAAGTGGGGCAATATCTGGCAAAATTTGTATGCACGTATCTATGCAGCTGCTCAGTACCACTTCTCACCAACACTTTGTACTAACTTTAGTATAAAGTTGGGTCATCTATTTTGGAACGGAGGGAGTATGATTGTTCATTGTATACACGGAAGTTCACCAGTAAAGATTATATGGTTATCACCTGGTACTACATAGTACAGTATAATTTAATGTATTTTGGCTACGGTTCAGTTTGACTAATTCAAATGTATTGCCTAGATATGTAGTCCTTCCGTCCCGTCCCATAATATAAGAGCTGTTTTTGACACTACCAGGGAGTAATTTCTAATATTATCAGCTCAGATTGTTTAAAGTGCATTGTTCCTCGTGTTCAGTTGCAATGGGTTTAGGGCCAAATCTTTTTCTTTTGAGGCTTATGGCGGTTGTGGAAATAAGCTGCCTCCTCCCAGCTTATTTGAAAATTCTAATGTTAATTTTATTTTAGAAGTCTACTAATTAACACTTAGTGGGCTTCTAAAATAAACATTTAGGCTGAGCTTTTAGAATAAACTAGGAAGGAAGTAGCTTATTTCCGCGGCCGGCCATAATAAGCCTCAAAAGAACTGGCCGTTAATCCTCCAGCGGATTGGGTGAGGGGGTTCGGATCACTCAATCCTAGCTGTGATAATAGTTGCTGTAAAAGGGAGGGGGCGGGCCTTATCTTTTACTGTACAAGTTAGTACACGCTACACAGAAAACCTGAATTCATGAAGGGCTGGGAGTATCTACAGTTTAACTCAGAGTTGGTATAAACCTTTGTTTAATAAAGGTCAAGATAGAATCCCGGTTTACAGCAATTCCATGGTTCATTTGTTAGGGTAACCCCAACATGTTTCATCAAAACGAACATCACCAAATGTCTGAGGGACATGTCTGCACATGGAATGCATCAAATTTTCACCCCTGGTCCGGCCTCCTTCGTTTGACATGCATATCAAGATCAATATCAATTTAGCACGCGTTTAACAGTGCAAACATATGCAATCATGAAAGTTCAATACACTTTTTTTTACATCCAAATCGTCTCAAAAGATCCCAAAAGTTTGTCCATGCCAACTTCTTGGACTCTCCCATGGTGAAAATATCGTTCTTTGGCTTCTCTGGCCTGCCTTCTCGGTTTCGCCAAGCGCTTCAATATGCTCGCACGGTACACTTGGGCAATCTTCACTACATTGGAATCGCCTTCACAAACAACATTTTGAAGTACTATGAAATGGCCTTGATCTCAAGCTTCTTCTATTGGAGCTTGAGCTTCCTGTCTTGCATTCCCATGAAGGTGCCAAACATACTTCAGAAGCTCAGATATACATAGTGTAACAGAAAATAAGCATGTGTCTATTAGTTCAAATGTGTTTTTTAATGGGAAGTCTGAATGTGCAAAATGCTGCATCCATGCCTGCTTGGATTCGACCAGTCTGTCTAAGTGCGGAATTAAGTGCATGCATGCTGAAGTCTGTGGAATGAATTTCTAGGTCCTCTTATTCTCCTTCTTGTCAATTAATCTTGAAAATACCTTAGTCAAGCAGATGCTACTCCCTCTCTCTCAGTTTACAGGGCGTGCGCATACCCCTAGATCGTCAATTTGACCAACCTAATACAAGTCATATATTACAAAAAATATACCAATATAAACTTCAGATGTTCTATTTTTAAAAGGTATAGTTTTTGTGTTATATAATTTATATTAAGGCGAAAATGCATAGGTGAACATGGCGCCATGCGAGGTCTTTATCTCACCATCCATTTCTCTCAGATTTGTATCGTATTCATACCATAAGCAATGCATATCACGTATATTGAATATTCCTCCTTGCAGTATTGGATCTGTATTCCACAAAACAATCAATGCATAAGGGGCCACATGCTTGACAAACGTGACCCAACTCATTTACTAGGCAGAGGTTGGGAACGTTAACTGCATTTGATGCCTGCACCACCATCTCTCTCCATCCAGCGTTGTTGAAGTTGGAAAGTGAGGTATTTTAGTGTCATCACATGTTTTGGACTATTACAACTGAAACCTTTACATGTATCAGTTTCTCTGCTATGCATTCATCTCCTCGCATTCATCCTTTTCCTTGACTTTGTTCAACTGCTTGTCTTCCCTGCAATGCTTTCTATAATGTGCTCCTCCATGTTCTAGTCCAGTTCATTAGCTCCTCCAACATGTATTCATTTAGACCAGGAAGCTCCCCTTTCGCTCATTTGATTGCCATCATTAGAAGGTGAGTTGGAGGAGCTGACGAACTAATCCTTCCAATGATCTAATCCATCATTGTCACATTAGGTCCTCTCATCGACTCTGGGTGTGCTACCTGTTCAGAATCAGCTGGTGGACATTGCAAGCTCGTCTTTTGCGGGTGGCATTGCAAGCTCCTGTACTAGGATACCAACAAGCCTAGGAAAGCAATAACAAAAACTCCCCGGGCACATATTTTGAGCGTCGGAAAGGTTTTGCTACAGTAGCAAAATTAATGGACAACTAACCTTCTGCTGTCGTTGTAGTTTGATGCCATGGTCATCTTGTTTTGTCTTCTCCCAGCAGGCAGGTTGAAGAAGGTTGTGCTAGCCTACTAGGGGTATTACTGTTGCTTGCACTAATTAATCCATCATGTCTAATTTCAGAGACAAAGAGTTGCTTCGCGTAATGTTCCCGCCATTTTTGTTATTACAACAACGCATGTAGTTTACATTTATCTTTGGGGAGATATCCCATTATCCATGAGGTAATACCTGATGAACTGATAGAGTAGTACACCTCAATTATAGACATGCAAAATGAACTTGGCAAAACAAAACAGCACAGAAACGGCAGGCCCACACTTGCTAAGTGCCATTAAAGGCGTACCTGTTCGACACAGAAACGTTTAAACGCAGCCGCCCAGCGTTATTAAATGGCCTGACATTAACACAACAGAACAGCTAGAACCGTATTTTGCATGTTTATGAACGTGTATCCAACTCCATTTAAGATGGTTAGCCACCAACCTCTGTACGTCATATTTGTCGAATTAACCAGGCGTATCGTTCAAGTATTCATTCAATCACTATATTAATTTCTAATCTCATAGCATGAATGGGCTGCCCAGATAACGTCCTCGCTTGCCATCATGTCTCAAAAATCTGCGTTGATATTAAGGTGATAAAATTGACAACCTAGGTATACGCGTAGGACTTGTAAACTGTGACGGAGGAAGTATATTTATCGCTTACGTTAAGAGATTAAACTCAAATAAAAAAAATCCCACCCCTCTAAAAATCCAAGGTAGCAGGAAACGATCTCGGCTCTGGCATGGGCACCAATTGTTGTCGCCGGATACTGGAGTACTAGTAAATAGTGGAATGAGCCATTGGTGCGGAACATTTTCTGGGATAACGACTGTTGCTTCGGTCACTTTTTCTGCAGAGCTACGTGCCTAGCCTGAATCTGGAAGGAGAATCAGAACAGTTTTGACCAAGGGGAAGAAACTGACAGTGGTGCAGGATTTGAACAGTTTTGGCGCCGGGCCAACAAATCTCGATATCTATATGTTCGAAGGCAAAGGAGGCTGAGGCGACAGCCTGTGTCCTGGGACCAATTCTAGTTCTCCATTAGCTCAAAAACAGATTAAGGCCAGCTCCAGCACACGACCCCAAGTCGTCCGCCCGCGGCGTCCGTTGGAGGTAAACGGACACAAATCACGGCCCAACGCGCGGGCGTAGACGAACAAATGACCGTTTTCGGTCCGCTTTTGACCCATTCCGCCTAAACTTGGGCCGCATTTGCGGCCAAACGGACAACGCATGGACAGGCGGGACGCGCCCCCTTGTCCTCCCCTGGCCCGTCCGTCGGAGACACAACCCCATTTCTTCCTCCCTCTTTCGTCGCTCCGCCCTCGGCCCTTGCCATCGCCGCCATCACGCCCGTCACCACCTTGCTTTGCCCGTCAGTGGAGCAGCCCCTTTTCCTCCTTCCTAGTCGTCGCTCCGCCCTCCGCCCGTGGCCGTCTACCGTGCTGCGAACCAACGGCCTCGACGTGTTCTTTCCGGCCGCGTCTCCACCACGCCCGCAAGGTGTTCGGCGCTTTGCTTGCAAGGTACCATGGATAGCGGAGATGAGTACTTCTTTCACAACTTCATTTGTTCATCGGATAATTCGTCCTCGAACGATGAGGACATAATGGTGGCAGCATGATGCGGCCTCGGTTCAGGGAATCAATCCCCGGGCATGCCCCAGCCTTGAACCGTAATAGGGAGAAAGGGCACCACCTTCTCTATTCCGATTACTTTGAGAGCACCGCACTCTACTAACCGCATCAATTTCGTCGCTGCTTCCGAGTGAGGAGGCATGTGTTCAATCGTTCGGGAAGGAGTGGTTGCATATGACCCATACTTTGAATGCAAAGAGGACGCTCTTGACAAGCTTGGCTTCTCTTCTTATCAGAAATGCACTGCGGCTATTCGCATGCTTGCATATGGAATTCCCGATAATCTTGTGGATGAGTATGTGCGTA